TTCTGTCAGTCCAGAGGGCATTACAGTGACTTAAGCCTTGATTATAACCCTGCTGGATGGACACACGGACAGCTGTGTGTAGTTGTTGTTGTTATTAAACTACTTTCTTGTCTGTTTGTGCGTCAACCTGTAAACCCGGTTCTGATGTGTTGGCTTCACGTAACAAAGCTGGTCGCTGTGTGTGAGTCAAACCTAAGATTTCTGTATTAGTTGATGTAGAACTAGGGACCATCTGGTATGTGCAAACGAATCAAGCTTTCATTTACTCCTCAGTGATAAGCTCTTCCTGTTTCACAACATTTTCTGGTAATCTGGTGCCATTAATTCTGCTAACTGATGTTTAAACCGATATCGATGAGACGCTTCACAGTAGCAGCAAAACAACTCAGATGTTTGCAGCCGTTATTTGAACAAGTCTGAATCACACGGATCTCTGTCAATAAGACTTTTCAGAATTATGTTTATATCAGAAATTTAGATCTTGGATAGTAAAATGTAAAAAAACAGCCTTTCCATCGGCGTATTCAGCTTATACATGCTACTGCCTGTACAGAGCAGTGCTGGGAGGGCATTAACGTCAGGCTGTAGAGGTCTGTGGATCAGAAAACATACATGCTGTGACTCCAGTGAACCCTCGTCAACTCTGGATCCATATAATAAAGGCTTAACGCTGCCCCAAGTCTACATAATAAAATATGATGATTTATATAACATGACTGTAAACAGATTTATGTCCTCACAACATGAGTATTACACGTAAACACACACACACATGTCGAGCACCTTTAAGGTGCTTAAAGTTCACGACCTTCACTAAAACCTGCATGCAGCACATCATCGGTATTATAAACCCACATGAAGGTATTAACGTGTGATGCTGTCGCCTCTGCAGTGGATCAGCTTCCATTTCATTAGATTCTGCTGCACGGTAAAGACTTCACGAACCACGCGTCATGTTAAGTTTTTTTTTTAGTATTTATTATTTGCAGCAGGAAGAAAGCCGCATGTTTTTATTACTCACATTTTTTAAAAAATATAATTTTATTTGTGTTTAAAATTAGCAATAAGTCTGCAAATGTATCTTCAAGCAAAAGTGGAGCTTTAAAGGTCAAATTCCATTAAAGAAAAAAAAATCAACTACATTTAATTATCTAACTTTGTAGTTAACATGGACACAAAAATCAAACTAAAAAAATGATATTTAGGTAAAAATACATGTTTTTTTTCTCTACACGTGTGACAAATAGAGAATTGTCAGGTCCATAGTGCTATTTTTCATTTTTCTTTTTTAAATAAAAAGACAGTAATCAACATTAACTTACGTTTCCAGAGTTGAAACAGAGATTTTGGTATTTTTAATTTACGACAGGAACACGGCGCTGCAACATTTGGCTTTTTTCACATTGTTTACATGCAGCTGGTAAATATTACGTATGAATATACTTTCATTTTTATTTATGTCAGCAAGAGAGTCTACTTGCATCGAGCTGTTTGCAGACTTTGAGCTCTGTTGTGATTGATTTTTAACGCTGCAGGAAGCTGCACTGACACCATCCATCCACTAGATGGCAGCAGAGACCAACAAGACAACAGTGAGTGGTTCAAAAGGGAATGTGTGAGTGTGTGTTTCTGTGTGTGTGTGTGTGTGTGTGTGTGTGTTTTCAAAGGGAGGAAGCTCTTACCTGCGAGGAGCCATCGCTGTGAATCGATGCTCCACCTGAATGTGACACCTGGAGGCACAATCGTACACCTGTGAGGACATTCTTCACTCTCTTATCATTTATTCCACAAACTGACCCTCTAAACTAACTTTAGAACATCAGATCAGATAAAATGTCCTCTCAGAGGTTTGAATCTGTACCTCACAGAGAAGAGTTTGTCTTTGGAGGAAACTCGCTGCAGCTAATGATGAAGACGAGCCTCCTCCTCCTCCTCCCTGCAGCAGCTTCTTCATTCCTGATGGAAACACAGACACGAGCCAAGACTCCCTCCAGGCTGCAAACCTGGATTCACACATTAAAGGGACGATCCGCCCAAATATCCTCCACAACGGCTTCATAGATCACTAATGTTTGATCAGACGATGGACGTGCTGCAGCTCAGTGGATTCATCAGCGTGTTTTCACTTCAGACTGTCAACACGGAGCTGAACTTCTGCCTCATGTTTTAGGAATGAAGCCAGAAGCGTGTGCACATCTTCTCAGGCTCATTCTGTGCACTTGATCTCTTACCTTAATACGGATGCTTTGGCTCCAACGAGGCACATTTTTGTGAGTTTTATGAACTAGAACTAGCTGCTGGACCAAACTTTGCTCACCTCCCCGTCGTCTGTGTTGGAGTTGTTGAAAGCTGGAGTCCAGTGAGGCGACAGAGGAGCCTGAGACAACGACCAGACAGTTGTTGTTTCACAAATATAATCTGATGTTCTGGAAGGTGGCGTCACTAAACTATAGGTGCACTTTGACCGTCCTTTTTACAAGGTTTGGTTAGAGACTGAGCAGGAGAGACCAGGTAGGGTCATTTGTACCTCATCGTCTCAGTTTAAATCGTCCTTACATGATGCTCATTCCTAAGAGCGCTGGCTAATTAACCCTCTACACCTCAAACCCACCAGTGGGCTTGAGAGGCATGTTTTCTTTTTACAAAAACGAACTCCAGAGAAAAAAAACTTTAAAAACAGACTTTCTTCACCTTTTTGTGCAACTCTGATTGAGAAAATTACCAAAAAATTAGCTTGAAATGTAATTAAAATAGCTTAAATCTACACGTCTAACTAAAAAAATCAACAGTGTGCACCAGATGCAGCATGACTTATCGTCTGACCTGCAGGCTGAGGAGGTGTGGAGCCCCCCAGAAAAGATTTATGGTGCTACAACTGTGTTATGGTGCACAAAAGACATTCATGTGTCCTTCTTCATGGCTGTTGTGTTTCTATCGAGGTGCAAAATGAGGCCACAGTGAGGAAAAAATGTAAAAGAAGAAAAAAAAGCTGGAGGGTAAAGTTTCCACAATAATACTTACTATTACACACACAATGAGCAGAGGGCAGGGAGGCATCATTATGGGCTTATTTCTGCCCTGAGGCCCCGTAATGATTAAATGTGGCCCTGACTTCCAGACAGGAGAGTCTCCAGCTCTGGGACACGGAGGCTTCGTTCCTGAGATTCAAACAGATAACGTGCATTTAAAAAAAACAGCTCTGATGGTTCAAGGTTCACGTCCACTCCAGTCATGTAGGAACATGTTTTCTTTTCCTCCATAAATCAGCTTCTGCTCAAAACATCCCAAATAATGATTGGAGCGAGGATCAGGAGAAACCAGAAAACAGCCAGTTAACAACGAGCAGCCACCTCGCCGGGGGAAAGTGTAACCTTGAAGGCCGCGGCGGGAGGGAAAGCAAACAAACAAAGCTTGTTCTTTTTTTTTTAAGCAAGAAAAATAATTTATTTATAATGATATAATAATAATTTCATCACATTGGCATTGCATAGCTGCGGAGGGAGTGTGAGACGCCACCTCGCAGCTACAGATCACACCACTGGATGGGGCAGGAGAACAGGGGTTATTCAATACATACACGGAATATTCCTTTAAATATGTCTTTTCCAATGAGGAATAACAAAAATAGAATAATTCCAATAACTCTGTCTGTCTTCTCTTTCTCTACGTCTCTCTAGGTATCATCTCTGTGTCTTTATAAGCTGCCTGTACAGCCCCCAGCGTTCAGCCGGGGTTTGGGGGGGGAGGTGCTTGTTTTGCTTCTCTGGGAGCGGCAGGCGGGTGGGGTTTACCTGCTCAGTAAACCTCACCCATCTGATGCTCCTCCTGAGACGAATGCAAGAAAGTCTTTGGCCCAAATCTGCAGCCACAACGTCTCGCCGTCGCCTTTTCACGCTCAGTCACTCTCTCGCGAAGGTAAAAACGGGCAAGTTCACCCAGAAATGTAAAGTTTGCGCGTGATTTATCAGCACGAGGCCGCCGGGCGGAGCTTAACGTACGTCTGGACAACTTTCCAGCACCATCCTAAAATAGAAACAACCTCCAGAGTGTTCATTTTTTCACCACAGACTGTTTACAAAAGATGGACAAGTAGTCTGACTGAATAGAAATCTGTGAGAACATTAAACTACTTCTCGCCTGGTTTGCTGCTTCAATCAACATTTCTCAGATGAGCTTTTGGCCTCAGTCGCTAGTTTTAAGTTTCCTTTAACAGAGAATCACGCAAACATTTAAGCTCTATCAGCTACAGAGACCAAACCACGCTTTGTGTCAGACTGTAAACAGGTTTATTTCTGCTGTTCAGTTCAGCGGTTTAACATGGGTTTCTATGGGCATTGACTCGCTTTTGGAACCAGCCTCTAGTGGCCACTGTAGGAACTGCAGGTTGACTTTAATTGTTTAATTCAAAATTAAGATGCTTAAAGTTGTGCAAACAGTTTCAACACAACTCCAGCTTATGTTTCTGAGCATGTTTTTACATTTTCAGGTTTCGCTAATGTGCAAACTGAACAAGGTAGTTGTACTTTTTTTTTTAAGTATTGTACTTTTTACTCCACTACATTCATCTGAGAGCTTTGTTCACTCGTTGCTTTACAGATGTGGGTTTTATAAACACATCAGGATATAATAAATGGTATAAAATATGATTAAATGAAACCTCCAAATAAAATCTGTAACATCTCGTATGTTTACATCAGTAATAATAATCCAATATTATATGATATAAAAATAAAACAGAGCCCATTTTGTTGTTGTTTTTAAAGTATTTTTACTCACACTTTACGGTCTGGAATGTAAAACTCTGACTTGTGGTTCTTCCACCACCGCTAATAAAATACAAATATGTGAAATTAGAAGATTTCTAAGCACTACTGTGGATTTCTCTTTTAATAAAATATCTTTATATCTCGTCTTTGTACATAAACGTTTAGAAAAAATGTCGAGTTCATTCGTTTTAAATAGCTTTTAGATAATCAAGTAAATCATTTCAGCTTATAAATGTTATAATAATTAATGCTGTTGTCTTTGATTTGTGACGAGTCAAAGACGTCAGAAATAAGCGTCAAACAGGAAGGTCAACGTGTCGGCGTGTGGCTCAAACACTGAGATGAGTTTCGTTTGTTTGTGTTGTGCTGCTCCACTCATTTACAAACTGCCGTAAACAGAAAGCTAACTTTTGTTTACTCGGATAAACTCTCTGAGCAAACTGTCCTCGCCTGAACTCAAACTTTCCTCCGCTGCTTTTATTTGTGTTTCCTAGCAACAGGTTTTGCCATCTGCAGAGGCCGGCGGTAAAATTAGACCGGATTCATTAGCGGGCCATGGCGGCGCCTCCTTCCGCCTCTTTTCGTGCCTTCTCATACCTTTTATTAATTCGCGGGGAGGCGAACGAGAGAGTGAGGGAGAGGGGAAAAGCTCTTAACGTGATTACTGGTGTGACTCACAGGACAGCTGAGACGGAGGCAGAGGGGAGGTGAAGGAAGAGACGATGGCACATGTGGTAATCCCCACACCGAGCAGAACCAAACCTCTGCTCCCCTCCTTCCTCGCTCTTCCTGACTTCTCCTCCTAAAGAAGGGATAATAGATTACATATTCAATATATTCCTCTCGTCCTGTCACACTTTATAGAAATGTCATCTTCAATATAATATGCTGTTTCAGAGGTTGCTAATTTGGTTTTACAGACGTTCCTCGGAGCTGCTCTGTCGGCAGAAACATCTCTTTGGTTGTTGTCAATAAATCGTCCTCCTTTGTCGGGAGATGTGTTGTCATTTGCAGAAACATGGCACCGTGTTGGCAGTAACGTGGAGCAGCTCCACACTTGAGGTCATTTCTGCCTCTGAGGCAGCCGAGAAATATTTGTAAAACCTGCAGAAATAAAAAATCTTTCCTCAGCGTTAAACGCCTGCATCCCGACACGAGGGAAGCACCCTTTGTACCCATATGTTCCTGTTTGTTTGTACCTCTGCTCGCTTCCCGATTAAAGGGAATCTGCCATCTGTCCACGTACGAACAAGTAAAAGCGGTTTGTTGCACATCCTCTCTGATAACCCCGTCTGCACACACATCACACAAGTTTCCCTCCTAAAGCTAAATCTTTCTGTTCTCCTCCCACTCCGTCAAATCAATCTGCAGTTTGTTCGTGTAGCGTTCCCCTCTCGTCTGATCTCCAACCTTGATCTGAGGGATATTGCTCTGAGGGAAAACAGACCCTGCCTTTCTCTGCATACCCGCGTATGAATGCAGATTTGGGCGAATGTTTTGTTATATTATCCATTTTTTTGGGGGGCCAAAATTAGGAAAGGGCATGTTTGTGTGTGTACTACCAAGGCAGCTGAAATTAAAAGAATTCAAATAATAATAATATAAAAAAAAACAAAAGAACACAGTCGGCGCTGCAGCAACACGCCCAGAATTCAGTATACAAGGCAAACAAACACAGAGATTTATAGGTTTATCTTTTTTCATTCACTAAATATTTAAAACAAGCGTCACTTGACTAGTCATCGTAAATGGTGATAATTTATGCATTTCTGAAATCTTTTTTTCAGGACGATGGAATACCTGAAGGACTGGTTGTAGGGAAGAGAAGAAGATGAAGGAGTGTTTTGTTTTGTTTTTTTGTTCACTCTTCTGTGGTTCCTCCTTTTCCGTCCACTAGGGGGAGCTCAGACTCAATAGCACCGAGAGAGAGTTTGCCGACGGGGGGAGTCGGGACGTGAAAGGTTCCCTCCTCCGTTTAGGCGGTCCATCCATGTGGGGGGGAAAAGTCAGGTGTTAGAGCCGAACCACGACCGGACCGTCCACAGTCCAAAAGTCCCGTTAAAACACATTCAAACCTCTCCTGCTTCCGTGTTTGTGCACAGATACCACCCACTCGCCCACTCATCCACGGCAAGTCCATGTTGCACGGAGACCAAAGAAAAAATATAAAAACTCAAGAGAGCAGGAAAGAAACAAGGCAGAAGATGAGCGCTGATAGAAAATGTGTTTTCTGTTTTTTTTGTTTTTTTGCACTCTCAGACTACGAACAGCTTCTATTTTCTTAACAGTCATTCATTGACATTCATCCGGTGTCGCGTCTTCTGCTGAGCTCAGATGCATAGACTGAATGCAGAGAGGAAAGAGGTGGGAGAGGCAGGAAGGGGAGAAATGGATGGAGGGGAGGACGGAGGGGAGGTAAAAGGAGGAGGAGAGGAGGCAGAGAGAGAGAAAGGTACAGAGAGGTGGTGCTACCAGAGAGAGAGAGAGGCTGCAGTATATGTGGTGAAGAGAGAGACAGATGGAGAGTGTGAGCC